CCCCAAAACCCCAAAACCCCAAAACCCCGGGGGTAAAATTTGGAGCTGAAATTTATAATATTATTTTTAATGAGTTCTGTAAAAAGAAATAAAAGGTAAGTTTGCTACATTTAGGAACATCAAATAGATTCTAATCTTAAATATAGAGGCATATGCCAACATGATAACTGTAGGGCACCAAGAGAAGTGTTCTGTACTAAGCATGAGAAAGTTCTCTGCGAGTTGCATCAATCATACCACCATTTTGAGTGTCCATGTGAGCAGTTCATCACATCTCAGCAACTCAAGAATGCCCTGATTCCATTGAACAACAGTCTGCATCAGATCTCTCAATACGGAAAAGCCTACGACAGCGTTGGGTATCTGATTGACAACTTTGAAGAAGCTTTAGGATCTTTAAAGCAAGAGTTCGAAGAGATCAAACAAGAAATCAGCAACAAGATCGAGCGTGATCAGTTCCTTCACTTCACCAAGTTGAAGAAGAGATGCGAAGAGTATGTCTTAAACTTGATCATTTCTTGATGATTTTTTAATTTTTGTTCAAATTTAGAAGGTCTGACCTGGAGTAATTTGAAATAATTTAGTTATTTATACCTTTGTGGTAATCTAAGCAAAACTTCCACTTTATAAGCAAATGGATGCAAGGTTTTGCAAATTTACACTCTGGATAAAATACCCGGGCTTAAACAGCAAATCTTTCTTCCTAATTCTGACGAAATCCCAAAACTTTATTCAATTTGTCGAATCTTAACTAAATTAGATTTTATGCAAAATTTAAGAGAAGCGATATCTACTCGGCTTTCAAAGAGTTTATGTTCAACAAGCACCTCGAAGACCCCACGACCAAGGCTGTCATTGATGCGGAGAGTTCGAATAGAGCAGTTGAGGAGGTAAGTGAACTCTCTTTTTCTTTTGATTCTTATGCTAACGACTTCTCCTCCATCCACTAAGATATTAATAGCTTCATAGAGAAAGGAGTTTGACTTAATTCTCAGAAGGGTCTCACAAGAAGTTGAACAGAAGGTCAGACAAGAGGTTGAAGCTACAGCGGCTAGAGATGTCGAAGAGCTTAGAAAGGAAGTCGAAGAAATCAAGCAACAGGTACTTAATTTATTGTCGCTTTAAGAACGAGCATAACTTGGAATAGGCAGAAGAGCATAAATAACCTCAGCTCCACACAAGCCACAGAAATAGATGCTCTCAAAACTAAAATTGAAAAGCAAAAGACTGAAATTCTGCAGCTCAACGAAGCCAAAGAGAAAGCTGAAGAAGGTAAAATTTAAAAGATTTTCTCTTTTTACAAATATCCATAATGTTATTTTAACATATCATGAATAATCTGAAAATAATTATTACGATCATTCAGCCTAATAATACCTTGAACTTAACTAATTCTTTTTAGAGTTTAAGAATAGTGTCACTGAATTGACACAGCTTCAGGAGACTTTTCATAAAGCACCTCCTCTTGTTTGCAAAGATATCTGGAAGAGAATTTACGGCAAAGATATGGTCTTCGATAAAAACACAAAAATTGAATTAAGAATGAATCAACAAAAAGACAAAGACTTTGTAACTGAACTAGCCAACCTCAAAATAAAACTTCCAAACATAAAGAGACTCGCACTAGCCCAGGACAAGAAGGAAGACCCAGTTATCAAAGAGTTCTTCAAACACTGCTTCCCAGACCAAGTTGAACTCTTCTGTTACAATTGGGATAGAGCTTTAGCTGCCGAACAGACGAAGCTGAACTACTACTTTATAATAGTGAAGGGTATAATCCCTAGAGTCACCAGAGAGGTTTACCTTTGTGACTTGGACATGACCAAACAAGAATTTGAGGTAAGTTTTTGGGAAGACACTTTAGTACATCGTCAGCAACTGAAAAGCTCCCAGATTGGTAATCAGATACTCTAAATTCGACACTTCCTCTGCTGTTACCTTCACCTGCGCCCACTCCAACATCCAGTACTTGTCCTTCCAACATAGCGGCCGCTCTGAAAGAAATGACTGGCCGTCCACCCCCTCCAAGTGCAAGCACATCCTTCAGGCGATCTCGAAGTCAGGCCTCAAGGACTCCCTCCACACTCTCGAAGTGGCATACTGTGGGTTGAGTGTAGACGAGGTCAAGGCCTTTCTGCCAGAGGTCGGTCTGGAGGTCGGTAAAGTTATCGATAATTACCACGACCCTCTGTCAGATTAATATGGAAAATTCATTGTTCAATCTCTGTAACTCCACTTGGGGTTTTGGGGTTTTGGGGTTTTGGGG